TTCCTTACACACCTCTAAACAACAAATACAGTAGTGGGGGACCCTGCCTGAAAACAAGCTCCAGTGCTTTTTCTAGAAGAAAGATTCACAGAGGAAAAAAATGTCATTTGTGTACCATACAGAGGTGTTCACCCTGTAGCCCATGGGACCTATGCAGATTATTTGAGAACTGTTTTGCTTATCTGTAGTGTTGCATATTGCAAAAAGTACAGCACCCATCTTTTTTTTTTTTTGCTTATCAGCTTTCATCAGTTTGTGTGTTTAATGTGTGGCCTAAGATACCTCTTCTTCTTCCGAAGTGTGGCAGAACAGAAAAAAAGTTGGACACCTCTGCGTCCTAGGTGACTTCATTTGACACTGATTCAGCTGGGAAAGCTACATCAAAGGGCAAGATTTTATAAAATCAGTAATGGAATGAAAACGCTCTTCGCATTATTCCCAGCAACCCCTTCTCCACACAGCGTTGGCCCTGGCCCTTCCTTGGTACACGCAAATGCAGCCCCACTCAGTTACAGAATGTGCCTTAGTTCTATCCGCTTCTGGAACTCACCTTTGGGATATTTGTTTTCCTTAACTTACCCCAAGGAGAACTATAGGACCAGCTGCCACATTTTTAGCTTTCACTCTTTGGAACAGGGAGCTTATTACATGTAAATGAAGAGACATAGAGGTTTGGCTGAGCCTATGGCCCAGTGGAGGATTCCTCAGAGGGGGCCTAGTGGCAGGTCCCAGCACCTTCAGCCCAAAGCAGAACTACCAGGTCCTGGTGCACCATAAAAAAAAACACTGCTGCAAACAGCGGTGCAAAAACAAGCCCATCAGGCCTTCTTCCCTCATCCCTGTCTCCTACTACTTCCTCTGCTCACACCTGATGAGACCCTCACGGCCCATTTCTCCCCCTACACATCATCTTCCTTGGCACATATGCTCATGCCCTCAGACAGCTGGCTTGTGATTAAAATGGACCAAACTAGGAAGTGCCAGAGAGAGTGAAGACTGTTGTATCAAATTTCCTTGGCCTGTTACAGGGACCCACCATGAACGCAGGGAATGCAGTGTGGTGGCCTGAGATCCAGTAAGCCTGTACTGCTCCAAACCTGGCTCGGTCACCAATGGGCTGAAGCAAAGAGCTTAGCAATCTGGACCCCCTCTCTATAAAAATGAGGGGTTGGCCCAGGAGATCTCTAAGGTTTCTCAACTCTGAATATCTCCAAGTTCCCTGATTCTATTGTCAGAGGAACTGGGGAAACAGAGAAGCCTGTTAATCTGAACCTTTTAAAGTGATTCCTCAAACACCTTTGTTGTATTTCTTACTCAATTCCTTCTCTTATTTTGACACAGAAGTATTTTTGAGAATTTTATCAAAATAACAAAACATTAGTGTTCTATCAAAAATCTATTAAGAATTTTTCATTGGACACTCCTGGAGTGCTCTAGCCCTCTATGAGGCACTGATGGGCCCCTATTAAATGCTTTCTATAAGCCAGCAGATGAATGTGTTAAGTCACCCTGAGGTCACATACAGCCAGAGGGAGGAAAGGACCCTGGCCTCCTCCCACCCCTCACTTCAAATCAGCGAACATGACTGAGAAACACTTTTATGCCGGCTGCCAAGCTAGGTACTAGATACCAAGATATGTATCACTAAAGCCAAAGAGCTAAGAGTCCAGGAGGAGAGATCAAGGGAGTCTCCTGGTTAAGGAAAAGAAAAAGAAAAAAACAGATTTTCTTCTGCTGCGACAGCTGACGATAAGGAGGGCAGGGAAGGAGGGGACCAGGGACATTATGCAACTAGTTTTTGTATTCTGGATCACCCTGGCCCACTAAAGCACTGTGCCAAGCCTAAAGAAGGGCCGTGTCTGCCGGGCCATAACCACTCTCGGCTGCAACTTGGCTGAACTTAAAACTGAACAGGTGACTTGAAGGGGTGAAGGCTGATGATGGAAAAAGACAGCCTCTTCCTTCTTCCTGTGACCAGCAGTCAGCCATGCAAACCTCTGAAAAAGAAAAAAAATGTTTTGACTTTTTAGGGGCAGTGATCTTGTCTCTATATTTAAATCGCCCCGAAACAGTCAGGAATTGAAGCATTTATAAACTCTCAGGACCAAAGTACCACAGTGTTTGAGGGGGGAGCCCAGCTCAGAGAAACAGTGGGACTCTGTGACAGTCTGGATGACCTTGAGCTGGTCAACCTTTCCTCTAATTGTAAAAAAGTTATGTCTGATATTAACTTGCCTAGGTAATGGGAACACACATGCAGCACAAAAGAAATATAGAAGCCCTTATGGGGCACTGATTGTCAACCACCACCACAAAAGCAATCTCTACGAAGGTGTCACTGATTCACCAATTCAGAAACTTTCACCTTGGCAACTCCACCCAAATCGAACACTACTCTTTCTCTAGCAGAACAGGCACTGCTCAGAAGTAAACAAAATACTTCCCTCTGTGGCGGCCTGTGGTCAGGCTCCTCTGTGCTCCACCTCACCAGCTGCTGAGGGGTTGCCTGCCTGCTGACCAGCTGCTTGGAAGGAATGAGAGCAAGTGAGGAAGGTTTCAGGCGTCGAGAGGAAGAGTGGGAGAAATCTCTCCATGTACAGAGAGACGTCCGTGTCACACTAGTTCGGTACATCAGATTCATCAGCTCATCCTTCAAAGCCTCTGACATTCATTCTCTACTCCATAGAAAAGCAATATTGTTTACTGAACTCTAAAAGCAAGCAACTTGCTTGTGGGTTACCAGCAAACATTTTTTATAATGCAGTCACTGTACCACATCCCAGGGACTAAATGAAATGCAGCACATCACCAGAACATTTTCAGATGACCTGAAATAATCCCAGTCCTTGATCTCTAGTGCTTATTATTGGAACACTGTGAATTAAACAAACTTCATGGAAAGATCCTCTTCACATGTATGTACTTAAACACAAGCACAGTCTAAGCATACTAGTTCCATAAAGACCAATATAAAATAAAAATGATATGGTCATTACTGGTAAAGAACATTAAATCTATTTTAGTTACAAAGAAGAACATAGTAATGAAAAGAGGCACCCTGGAAGAACCAAGAGTACAAGCATTAAAGAAAAAAATTGACATGCAAATTACAGATACAATTTTTATGTCACATTTAAGAATGTGTTTTCTTTGGTACTGGTTTTGTATGTGTAAGGAAAAGGACTCTTGTACGCTTCTCCCACTAAAGAAAAAAGCCGCTCAGTAGCGCTCTGCCTCAAGTACCATCAGAAGAGTGAGATGCACTTTAGAAGAAGTATCAAGAAAAGTCGCAAAAAACATTGCTTTTGTGGTTTTCTCTTTAAAGTTAACTGCCATAGCATAACCATAGATTTTCCTGATGTTACATTTATTGTCATAAAGCTAAATGCAATTTACTGATTTAATACCCCATTATTTAGTTAACTCTGTTTGTGTTACAAAGTGTCAAATAAATTATTATCCATATCCAGGATATCTATACAGCAGGATTTTCCTGAACTGGATGTAGAAACTAATTTATAAGGTAAAAGAAACTGGTTTTGAAGTACCAAAGTACCCTACATTCTTTAGTGTGGCATCCTCTTCCACGCCCACAGGGGATAGTGCTACCCCCAGATATTTACAAATGCAAGAAGTTCCACCCAGCATTTTTGTGAGGCAAAAACAAAGAAACCCACCCTACCCTGTGAATTCACATTAGTCTTACCTTAAATCCTGAAAATCTTTCCTGATAAGAAACACTAAACTCTGCCTCTATTAGGAAAACCAAGTTAGCAAGTTTGATAAAATACTGCCTTTCCCCTCAACAGATGCTAATTAAAAAGCAGTGTAAAACCAGGAAAAGTTTTTCTAGTGCCCCACAGATGAAGAAAACAGGTTATTTGCCCACTTAAATAGGCCAAGCCAAAAACAAACTTCAGCAGTGTTAGACTCTTGTAGGAGCAGAAGGTCTTCCACCTGAGTACTGATGGAAAAGTGAAATTAATCAAGTACACAATAAATGCAGCACTGGGAAAAATAACTGGGCGTTATGGATAAATCATCCTGCCTCCCAATGGTGGCAAACTTTACAACAACTTTTTACAAGCAACAAACGGCAGCACCACAAGTCTTTATAGCTATAGAGATAGGCATACACACAGCTACTTGGAAACCAAGCCCTGTGTTTGCAAACATCCACCATCCTGCATATACAATACTGCAAAATATGGCCAGAAAGCTGGGAGATTTCTGCTCTTTGATATCCTCCCTGCACTGTCAAACACAGAAGGTCATTTTGCCTGGTCGCTTCTTTCTTTCTCTCCCTGCATCACACGAGTTTTCTACTTTGGGATTGCTCAACTTTCATACGCATCGGAGTAAAATAACTATTCAGCAACTTTATTCACCTTGGCTTAAAAAAAAAAAAAATTCATTGTGCAATGCCCAGGAAAAGCTGACACCAGGACTGTCTCTCCGACAGCACTTGCAATTACAATGGGGGGTTGGGGGGGGGAGGATCCTGTCTGATCAGATCCAGAGTCCTTAAAAAAATAAAAAAAGAAAGAAAGAAACTATTCCATCGTATGGGGGCTGAAGAACTTTTTTCCTAAGAAGACCACCCCTCGGGAACAAAAGTTACATCTCAGTCACATGTTGGTACGTGTAGAATAAGGAGCAGGGATTTTTTAAAGCGCACTAATTACGGGGGTGTTTTACAGTTCTGGAGACATTCCGGGTTCCTCCTGACCAATTGTGATCAGCATTTCATTGTCAAAAAGAAAGGGGGTGGGGGCCAAGGAGCCCGCAAGGGCTCGGCGGGGGGTAGTAGCAAGGTTACGCTAAAGGGTACAGCCGCCGCCGCTGCCGCGAGCTGCATCTGGTTCCCTCGCGCCCCAAATAATTTACTGCGAGCAGAGCAACTGCAACAGCCCACTCTGAGGAGCCCAGCACGACTGCCCTGGCGGTGCGTGCAGCTCAAGGTTTTCGACCAACGGAGAGGGAGGGGAGAAGATTTTTACCTTAATGCTACACTGAGCAGGAGTCTCAGACATGTCTCACAGCGAGAGAGATCAGGAAGTTCTCAGGTTTTTTCCACTTTCCTTTCCTTTCCCCAACCCAGAAATGCTCCACGGCCAGCCGGACTCGGTCATTTAAGAAGTTTCTTCCAGCATTTCCCCCCGGCAGCCGCCCCGGGGGTCTGCGAGCGCGCGGGGCGGGCGGGGCGGCCGCGGAGTTTGGTGCGCCGGGCGGCGGGGGCGTGGGAGCCGGGCCGAGCGCGGCGGCGGGGTCTGCAGGTCGCGGTGCGGCGACCCGGGGCGCAGCCCGGCCAGCCTCCCGGTCTCTCCTCCCACCCGCGGCCGGCGCCCCCGCCCCCGCCCTCCCGCCGCTCTCTCGAATGTTTTCCTTCCTGGAAGAGAGAAACTGAAAGGCAGAACTGAGAAAGCTCTTTGCTCATTGATCTTGAGAGTTTCAGTGCAGAAACTGACGTGAATTCCCAGCACTGAGCTCTGCCTCTTAAAGGAGCCACCAGGAAATAAAAGCTCGGGTTACAGCCTGGCATCGGGGAAATAAAAGCCGGGCTGGGGGAGGGGCAGCCACGGGGGCGCGGGCGGAGGACACCGGGGGATCCGGGTGCGCCAGGCCGCAACTGCGGACGAGGCGCACGGCGCAGCACCCCCAGGTCAGTCTCCGGCGCGGGGGCCAGCCCTGCGCGCCGAGACCCCAGCCGGCCCAGGTGAACGGCGACCGGCTTCGCGAAGACACCTTGGAAACACGTTACATCTTGACCCCAGAACCACAAAACAGATTTTATTCAACTCCTCCCACCTCCCCTAGCTCGGTCTCTTAGACACATGCATATGCACACGGCTTCTAACATGTTTCCCGGCGCGCGGATGCAAGGAAAATAATTATGTACGCAGGGCCATTCCGGTAAGAACGCGGAACCCGGAGGAGGAAATAAAACAATAGCCTTTGTTCTGCTTCTCGACCGCTGCCTCTTTAAGAGAATCCATCAGGAAATGGGAGATCGGGTTACAGACTGCACACCGGGAAACGTGGGGCGAGCGAGCGCCGGAGCGCGACGGCGGAGACAAAGCCGGGCGGCCGCGCCGCAGAAGCAGAAGGCCGGTGGGGCGGGGGGTTGCTGGGGAAGGTGGGCGCCCCGGAAAGACCCGCGGGTTGGGGGCTGCGGCTGCCGCAGGCGCTTCCCCCAGCGAGCACGCGCTCTGGGGAAGGGGAGGCTACAGGGCAGTTATCAGAGGCAGCTGAGTTCCTTTTCCTGACTACCCCCCTCCCGTTTCGAAATCCACTGCCCATTTAAAGAAATAGCGGCCGCTACCAACCGAAATAGGTGACTCGACTACAAAGTTGACAGGACCTGTTCCTGCAGATAATACCCCTCCAAAGGACCGCTTCTCTCAAACAGTCGTCGGCCAGTTGCATGACTCTGGGGTCCTGCAGGGAGGAATATTCGGTTGGGAAAACAGTTGGGGGAAGTTAAAGCCAGCAGGCCAGAGGGTTCTAGCCTTGATCTTAAGTAGTCTGATCACTTTTGTTTATTATTTACAGACTCTTAAATTGTTCTGGAGTGTCCACCACAAAAGACTTAGAACATTATGTTTAAATTCTAGACCCTGTTAATATATACATAGGGGTTTAATGTGTGGATGTGGAATATAAAACGGAAATTTGTAATTTTGTTTTTATATAATGACAGGTTAAATGCCCTATAAATACATATGTATACGTATCTATACGTTCTCTGCACCGGACCGGAACATATTTCCCAGATCTTACCCATCCTGTGTATTTTACCTACCCACTTTTCTTCACCTCTCTGCGTGATAAAATGTGTTCAGACTTGCACATACAGTACTTTGTTCACACGTTGATCGGAACACTCTGGACCAGAATGTATTAAAAGAAGATGGGGCAGGAAAGAGTCCTGTTGCCGGGAAGGTGGGAATGGGTTTGTGAGCCTGCAAGAATCTCAGCAGTTTTTGCCACCTAGTGGCCCTACCCTCCCTGTCAGAGCTCAGTCTTTGTGCACACCAGCTCCTCTGCTTTTACCCACCGGATCCTCCCCCTCAATAATTATCTGTGCACCTTTGCCCCTCTTAACTGATGTTGCAGATATTGGTTCCGATGTCTCATTGCTGGGTTAAATCCTCTACATCACCTACCGGTATGATATCTGACAACTCAATCAGGATTGCAGCAACCTAGGGGAAAAATAGCTCCTATCCTATGAGCTTCTGAGATTAAATGAGAAAATATATACAGATGCTTCCTTAGCAGGGAGCTACATATTCTACGTATTTAAAGTTAGGGACAATTATTCTTTAACCCCAGGGTGGAATTAACCCTCAATTTTCAGCCTAACTCTCCCTTAACCTTCTCCAAGTGATCTATGGACATGTAGTTTAAGGTAGAATGTTTGTGCTTCCAAAGTACACAGTGACAGCTGTAGCAAAAGCTACATTTAAACCCAGGGGTTGACAATCTCTGTCAAGGCCCGGAGAGTAGATATTTTAGTCTTTATGGGTCAGGAGGCAAAATTGAGGACGTTAGGAAGATGTTTAATACTTACATAACAGATGTCCACAATTTTGTTATCGACAAAATGAAAAGTATCATAATAATTTTAATACAGGGCTGTTAATGAGAGGAATGGAAATCTTTCAGGGGATTGCCCTCTGAAAGGAGGTGCAAAAAGTGCTCTTTATCATCAAAATTGCAAATGTTCATCTGTGGATGCTAATTTTTTACGAGATGGTGTGTACTTCATTTTTGAAAATGTCTTTCCACCCAGACAGGTACTGCAAAATATTAATATCAATCCACAAGTGTGTGATTTTACTTGAGTGTACTTGCTTAGATGGCATTCCTAAAATTCTATCAGAACTCTATTAATCCTTTTGATAGTTCTTTAGCATGCCATTACATTGCAGATTAATCACTTACAGTTGAAGGTTAGGTGGAAGCTCTTCACTGCTACAGTTCAGTGGATTTTATATATGGAAATTTCCTTTGCACTCGCATTGAAATCCAAAAAACACCATTGGCACTGTAGTTGGAATTCAGAAAAATATAACTGCTGCAACTTTGTGTTGGAATGGAGATCTTGCTTCTTGTTTTAACTTCTGACAGCATGGGAGTTGTGTAAAACAGCTTGACATTATTTGTGATTCAAACAATGTTAGTTGTGTCAAAATGATTTTACCAGCAGTATAAGTTTTGCATATAAGCTCTATTTTGACTTATAATTTTAGGTTGAATTCATGAAAAAACATTATCAAATCTGTAGTAAAAGCTCATTTCCAAATCCATTCAGCATTCAGTAATAGTGGGTGAGGGAAGAGTTCTTTTTATTCACTCATTTCACTCTATTCTTTGTGTCTTAATTTCTTTGCGGTAAATTGGATATTTTTTATATTCCACCTAAATTCCTAGATCGTCTTTCTAGCTTTTCTTCTTTATGTTAAATATAGGGCTTGCTCTTTAAGTTATAATTTGCATATTTAATTATCACAGTCTACCTTGAAACAATACTATTATATTTTGTGAATCTATAAACATTTACAACAACATAATTCCCATTTATCCATCTCCCATCCTCTGTGACGTTGTTGTCTTATGTTACACTTCTCCATGTTATAAAATTTGTAAATACATACATATAATGAATGTATTAAAATATGTGTTTCTTTTTATTTTGCCTAGATTTGTATCCTTTCTGGTATTTTTTTATTCCTTTTTGCAGATCTGGTTTTCCATCTGGTATCACTTCTCTTCTTTAAGAACTTCTCTCAGCGTTTCTTGTAGTGCTGTCTTTTGGAGATGAAATCTCTCAGCTTTTGTATGTCTGAGAATGTCTTTACTTCATGTTCATCTTTGAAGAATATTTTTACTTTATATAAAATTCAAGGTTGATAGATTTTTATTTCCTGTCAGCACTTTAAACGTGTCCTTCTTCATCTGTCTCCATTATTTTGATAAAAAGTCATTTGTACTTATTTTGGTGCCCCTGTGGGCAGTGTAATTCTCCCCTCTCTGGCTACTTTTAAGATCTGCTCTTTAAAATCGGTTTTCAGGATTTTGACTATGAGGTGCCTAGGTATGGTTTTCTTTTCATTTGTACTATTTGATATCAGCTGCAGTTCTGGGACCTATACGTTGATATCTTTCATTGGTTTTAGAAAATTCTTATTAATTATCTCCGAACATTTTTATGCTCAGTCTACTCGTCCTTTTCTTTTATTGCTCCCAATACAAGTGTTAGACCATATGATGTTGTTCCATAAATCTCAAATACTGTTTTATCTTTTTTCTCTTTGTGTTTCAATTTGAATGCTTTCTATTTGTGTCTTTTCAAGTTTCCTTCTGTTTTTTTTTTCAATTTACTGTTAATCTCATCTAATTAATTCTTTACTTCTGATAATATATTTTTTATTTTTACCATTTCTATTTAGTTTTTTAATACTTTTCCTGAACTTGCCCATCTCTTTGCACATGGTTTCTACCTTTTCCTTTAAATCCTTTAGTATTTTTGTTACACTGTGATGATTCTAAAACTTTTGCTGTTTTCTTGGTTAACTTCTATTGATAGTTCACCTTCTTGGCCATGGGTCACCATTTTTTTTTTGTTGTGTGTATTTTTGTATGTGTGTGTCTTGATAGTTTTTGACTGTGTGCAACTATAGTACACAATGAATTAAATGAAATTTCCTCCAAAAATGTTAACACATCTGCTCCTATAAGGCCACTAGGGTTGGGACCAATATAATCTGTAGTTGAGCTGGGTTTGTTATAGCTTTAGTTTGATTTGGTTTACCACCTGCTTCAAATATGTTGAAGGCAGGATTAGGACTTTTCCTGTAATTGCTCTAATTATCTTAGAGCAATTATTCTCCGCTTTTCTGTCCTGATAGTTGTCTTTCTTAGCATCAATTCTTATGATAGGATCTCTCTTCAATCTTGCTTCCCTACCCACATCTTTGTTAACTAAAGGCATGGAGTGCTGAGGATTTTTACTCAGCTCTCCTGCCCCTTTACATTTCTTATTAGCTGAAAGCCCAATGATCTCTGAGACATTTTCTCAGCAGTTCTTCACTGCCCTTGTTTTTGTGGTCCTACCCTAGTAGTTAGTGAACATCAGTGGTAAAAAAAAATGTGAGTTGATGTGGCATTGCTATGTACTTGTGGCTTCCTTTGATTCTAACCTGGCACATCAGCCCAGGTATTGCCATTAAATTTTGTTAACAACTAGAGTGGTTTCTTCTTACCATCACATATGATGTGCTCCTCCTCCCTCCACTTCAGTCAGGGATGAGAATCATTGTGGGCCTT